GGGGGGGGGGGGGGGGGGGGGGGGGGGGGGGGGGGGGGGGAGCCTCTTCCAGGTAGCACAGGACGCAGGGCTGGGATACACCCTGGATTGGGAAAGTAGTGATACTAGTAATAATGATATAGTCATGCAAGACTTACCGATGCTTCCACTCACTAACAGTTCTCAATGACACAGATTTTAAATCCTGGGGGGAGGGGGGTCTCACCATGGCAACTGGAGTCTTGCATCAGGACACTGAAGCAAAGGGAAGGGTGGGGTCTATGAGGCATTTCCCTGGGAACTTATTATTTATGGGGTTTGTCCGTGTATGTCAGAGTGGGAGAGGCCAAACAGGACCTGTGCCAGATCACTTGTGAACCTTCTGCACATCCTATTAAAGATTCTGTTCCTTGTATGTATGTGGCTCCAGCATGAAAGACGCGAGGGTGGGGTCTGAGAGTGCTGGGTGTGCTGACCGCCCCCCCCCCCCGGGTCTCCCCGCAGGCGGGAGGTGCGAGCTGTCGTCCCACTCGGGCCGCTGTGTCCCCGGAGTGTGCAAGAACGGGGGCTCCTGTGTCAACCTGCTGGTGGGCGGCTTCCGCTGCGAGTGCCCCCCCGGGGCCTACGACAAGCCCTTCTGCCAGATGTCGGCCCGTGGATTCCCCCCCCAGTCCTTCGTCACCTTCAGGGGCCTCCGTCAGCGCTTCCACTTCACCATCTCGTTGACGTGAGTAACCACCCCCCCCAACCGTGAATGTTCCTCACCGTCGCGGGTGCCTGTACCTCCTTACCGAAAATAGCCCCCCCTCACACTCACGATCGATTCCCCCCTTTCCAGTGACTGTGGTGGCTACAGACTAATTACATTTATTTTGTTTTTAAAATTACATTTCTCCCCACAATACGCATCAGGGCCAGAATATGATACCAGTTCGTTCAGAGGTATTGACAGATTTTTTGGTTTATTTTCCAGCAGCTCGTTCAATTTTGTATTATTTTTTTTTTGCTCTAGCTAAATGTCCCCACAAATACATTTCCCGACCTTCTATTTTAGGGAACTTTTTTGATTTTCACATTAATTACTGAGAGACCCAAGAGACATTACTGCACTTTATGTAAAACCAATTTGGTTGACAAAGATATTCATCTAGGTATTTTCGTAATATCCAAATGAATAATAAAAGATAAAACAGAAAAAATCTCTCCACAGGTGTAGGGGTAGGATGGCGTGGGGGTCTTGTGAGGGAGGGGGGAGAGTCAGGGGGGCAGGGGGAAGCTGGAGCTGTACTTTTGACGGTCGATTGTCATTTTTGGGTCAGTACCTGTTACTGCCAAGCCACTCTCACCCAGTGCCGAGGGGGGGGGGGGGGGGTGGCGGCCCACCACACTGCAGGAGACTAAGAAACCTGGGTGCTTGGCCCAGTTTGCCATCACCGGGGGGGGAAGCGCCTGCCCCCCGACCCAGGCCTCCCCGCAGAGANCACTGCAGGAGACTAAGAAACCTGGGTGCTTGGCCCAGTTTGCCATCACCGGGGGGGGAAGCGCCTGCCCCCCGACCCAGGCCTCCCCGCAGAGACAGGTGCCCCTCGCTAACGCGCCACAGCACATGCCATACGCCCATGTGTCTCCATGCCCTTCCTTTGCATCCCCCCCCCCCCGCTGGCTGCCTCACTTTCACCAACCAGTTTAATCCAGTATGGCGAACACGTCAAGGACATTTATTTTTTTAGATATCTTGTCCTAAGCTTCCTCGTAGTTTAACGACAGTGCCAGATGGCTAGCATGCAGTTTTATTGGACCGATGATGTTCCTATAAGTGTAGACAAGCTTTTATTAGCTGGATGCGTTAATCTACTGCTGCAAAGAAATAATTCATGTCAGTTAGTAAGCTGGTTACGACAAATTATTGCTTTATTTATATCTCTGTGTGGTACTGATGTATTTGAACAGTGTAAATTAAAACATTTTGCTCAACTTCTGTAGCTGAGTTATATAATCATTATTTTGTCTTAGCTGACTAACTAATGTAACCATTGGCTGGCTACTATTTGATTTCATGGCTTAGTTCTGTGATGGCCATTGTGTGACTCCAGAGTCTTGTTCTGTGCCTCAGACAGGTTTGACTCCCATATCTAACCCCTTGACTCTTTGGCTGCTGTTTTCACTGGCTTCTCACAGTCTGGCATCTTTAACAACGTAATCGACAGTGACATTAATAGCAGGACTGTGTCACTGCTCATTAACTGCCCCCAGTTATGCCGGAAAACAATCGTTGGGTTAATCTTGCAGTTACATCAGTATTGATCGTGTTTTGCTGTGTCTTTACCTACCCACTCTACTAGCTGCAGCAATTTCTATGCAACGGCATGAATCTCTTGCCACAGGCTTCGTAAAAGTTCCTTGTAAAAAATCACAAAACCTTAAATCCTTAAATCTTAAATCCTTTTATTTTGAAATATGCAACTAGAGCAGGACTTAACAGTCATAACCTGTGCGGCTAATGGTCTTGTACCCCTGGGGTACAGATTATTCCTCAGCCGTGAGATGAATTTTAAAAAGTTCAGAGAAACTATTGAAATAATGTGCAAAGTTTACAGCGTGGTGTGGGAATTAGTGGCGGAAGAACGGCGGGCGTTTGGGGCATTTCTAGCTGGAGGGGTAAAGCCGTCTTTAATGACAGGTGCGGTGACATTGTGGACGAGGGCTGCGGTTTTCTTTAAAATAATCCGGGCTGCAGAGGACGGCAAATGCCAGGATCATGCACAGGAATGACCAAAAAGGGCCCTATTCATATGGAATGTTCTAGAAAGAATGATGGATGCATTCCGTTGCTTGGGGACCATCGCGGCCCTTTTGTGGCCCAGCTGGGGGTTGGAGTCGTTCTCCAGGCTTTGCTGCCCCCCCCCCAATATGGCACTGTTTCCTTCTTGGAGGAGAACACAAACAAAAGTTCTTAGTCTGGCTTTGCTCTTTAGTGAGTGATCTTCCATCATTTAGGTCTTTTACCTCGGTCTCTGGGTAACCTGGCTGCTAAAAAAGGTGACACTGTACTTATTTGTGTTTTTTTCTGAGTCGCTCTGTGCTCCTATTTACATTTCCACATATGACCTTTTTTTCTAAATATGTGTTAAATACGTATGTAAATTTAATTTTGGTTTCTATTTTTGCTGTAGCCAGTACAGGTACAAAAGGACAGAATCACTATTAATAAATGATTATTATGATGACACACACCGGCCCTGACCTTCTGCAATATGCCATTGTGAGTCTCACTGCAGGATTTAGGATGGGTGGCATTCTGGGAGAGAGCAGTGCATTGTGGGAAGTGCGGGTGTCCTCAGCAATGACCTACTAGAATTCTCCGGCTACATATGGTTTGCTTTGCGCATCGATGGTCTGAGAAGCACCTTTGCTGATTTTTGTCCCATTTTATTTATTCTTTTGAGGAATCTGGCTCACAAAAAATGCTGCAGCGATCACTGAGAAGTGAGAAACAATGCAGAAGTCTTGCTGTAAGAATGTTGAGCAGACCCACATGACGTTGGGGTTATGAGTGCGCAAGGGGGACATTCGTTATGTCAGAAACATCGAGAGCCTGTTTTAGTCTATACTCTCCTTGATGATCACAGGTGAATGCTAATTAACAATTAATTAATTAAACGTCAGTTGGCAGCTTCAAGGTCATTGAGGGGCATGTCCCTGTGTTCCTCCCCCCCCAGCACATCCCACCCACCCTACTTGGAAATTGCACGTTTAATTACTATTAATTTCTATGTGTAATTCCTATGTGTGATGCTTACCTATGTACTGTGCACATTATAGTTTTTCCCAATCATTGTAACGCGTGTCTCAATACCATGTCCACTTTTTCAAAACACTTAACACATGCACCATGCCATTAGACCATGTGAGCTAAACTATGTATACGTTTGCATTGCTTTGACACAATATGCATTCAATCACCACTTCCCCCAAATTTCATGAATACTTCTCTCAGTCAGTGTTCGCCGCCAGCAAAACTTTGTACAACTACAGCCGATTTTTCAGACGTTTAGATAATCTGTTCAAAACAGTTAACTTTCAGGTCAAAACCTAATGAAATTTAGAGCACTGTCAATTGAAATATGCTGCCTTTTGATAGACAAAGGACACTATGCCCTTGCACTAAAACAAATAATTATGCTTCTAGCAGAAATTTCATAATTTTGTTTTTGTTTGCTGCTTTGTTACCATTTATACAAATGAGGCCATGGAGTGTCCCCCCCCCCCTCCCCTTTCCTTTTTGCATCACAACACAATGTATTCTGTGCAAAAATAGTGGGTATGGCAACACATATATTACAGTAAAACATTTACATTTATTCATTTAGCAGGCATTTTTATCCAAAGCGACTTACAGTGAAGTACGGTAACTACAGGGACTGTCCCCTAGGAGCAAGTTGGGGTCAAGGGCCTTGCTCAGGGGCACAATGGTGGCACCCCCTGGGAATGAACTCTCAATCTTCCAGTGTTCCTAATGGGAGCCCAGCCAGATCCCCAACTACTAGACCACCAACATCCCACTAGATCACCACCAAGCATTTTACAGTGCTTGAAGCTGGAAAGCTGAATGAAAACACACACATGCCTGTAATTTCAGCTAAGCACCTATCTAGGAATTTGTGTGTGGTTAGTGCCAATTTGCCATATGTACAAAAGGGGCCATCTTTGGATTGGCATTTTCCATTGGTATTTTTCTTTAGCTAGTGAAAAATGGATGCCACAAGAGGCAGAGGAAGAGCAAGAAGACATCAACGGAGAGGAAGAGGAAGAACCATGGTTACTGATGAAATCAGGGCCACAGTGATCGACCGTGTTGTAAATCAGGGGTGTCAAACTGCAGTCCTGGGGGGCCGCAGCCCTGTGTAGCTTAGTTCTTTCCCTGTTCCACCACAAATTATTCAGCTCAGCTGCTATGTGGTAATTAGCACAAGAAGTTGAATCAGGTGTGTTAAACGAGGGGAAACCCAAAAGTGTGCAGGGCTCCGGCCCCCCAGGACTGGAGTCTGACACCTGTGTTGTAAATCATGGTCTGTCCCTGAGGGAAGCGGGTCTAAGAGATCAACCCCACTTGCCTAGATGCACAGTGGCATCAATTGTCAGGATTTTCAGGCAAAGCAGCAGGTACTATACACTATTTAGAGCATTCTGACTGAAGCTATTTGATTGATGTGTATATTACTGTAGTGGTGTGATTTGAGGAAAGTCTCCAGGAAAAAACTGATGCATCAGTGAACGTTTGTCTTCACTGTAACCCACTACTATAGGATTTACCGTTTACCTCCCACAGGAGGGAGAGGAAGAATTTACCAGTATTTGTGATTGTGTGGGACAATGTGGCCTTTCATCATTCCCACCAAGTCACAGAGTGGTTTATTGCCCATCCCAGGATGATGTCATTATTCTTGCCACCATACTCTCCATTCCTCAACCCCATTGAAGAATTTTTCTCTGCATGGGGATGGAAGGTATATGACCATCAGCCACATGATCAGATATCGCTTTTAGATACAATGGCTGCTGGGTGTATGGACATCCAGAGCTGGATAAGGCACTCAGAGAGATTTTTTCCTTGGCGTATTGCAAGAGAAAATATTCAGTGTGATGTCGATGAAAATTTATGGCCAAATGCAAGTGACCGAATGGATTAGGGCAGGTCTACAGTGTCCGTAACTGTATACAGTGAAACTTTGCTATTTGGCGTTTTTTTCTTTTGTATTGAATGTAATGTACTTTCAGTAGGTGGTTGTAATGTATTTCTCTTTTCCAGTGTATTGCGCAGCTGAATTTATTTACTATATTATTTGTTTGTATTACAATGTTTACTGTAAATGTCATAAGTTTTTCTTTTACTTTGCAATAAACATTGTGTGAAAATATAGGATACAACACATCATATATATGCATTTTGCAGCGCTTCAAGTTGTTTGTGTTTTTTCATGCATTGTACTTTGCGTGACAAAGTCGTCTTGTGAGAGAGTGCGTGTGCTATAGGTTTGGCAGCATGTGTCACTTTTGGGTGAAGTGTGAAGTGTTTCGGTGGTTTTAGTGCATTTTGCACCGAAAGTTAACTGATATGCTCAGGTGCATGTTTGTAACGTTCACAATGTGAAGTGTTTTGAAAAAGTGGACATGGTATTGAGACAAGTGTGAAAATGATTGGAAAAAACTGTAACATCATGTTACGTATTTCATCATGTCACACATCATGTTCCACATCATGTTACACATTTCACTGTTTGGTATTGATCCAAAATAGACATACAATTTTTCCTTCATGTGTTCGTTGGTATTTTTCACCACTGCACGTGCACCAGTGCTGTTCTGGTACACAATTGTGCAAGAAAATGTGCACTGTCTGTCTCACTGTATGTTTGTTTATTTGGTTGTTTATGTATTTGTGTGTGTGTGTGTGTGTGTGTGTGTGTGGGGG